AAATGAACCTCCTCCTCCAGTTCTTTCCTACCTCCCGCCCCTCCCCCATCAACACTGCCTCCCTGCTGTGCACAGAGCCCTTTGTCCTGCCCTGCACTTATCTAGCTGTTTGGCCATATTGACAGGCCTACTGGAGACATAATAAGGGAGTCAGGCTGACATAAGCAGCTGGCAATTTGAAACAAAAATCTTCTTTTTCTACTCAGACCAAATCCTCCTGCAGAGGTCTGTGGCTCCTCCCAGGCTTCTATATTTTTCAAGCAGAGTAGTAAGGAATTCAGCATCTCCCCCTGATTAGGTAGCACAAATGAAAAACTTGATTTCCTTGATACAAACTCATAATGTACAAATTCCTATAGCTACTGTGTGTGATCATAATATAGGCTGAAACTATCCCCAGCTCTGGGTGTGTATACATAACAAAAAGTAGGAAACAATTATTTTTTCAATTTCCTGTTAAAACTCTGGGAATCTTCATATGACAGGACAGGAGCACAGAAGAGGTAAGAAGCTACAGACACATACATCAAATAAATCATCTTTTATAATCTGTTTTTTTAAAACTAAGATTCCAAAAAGCACAAAATTCACTTTTCTTGATTTCATATCAGACACTTAATATGACTTTGCTTTATTAAATAAAGTATTCAGCAAATAAAATGACAGAAAAAACTGAGGCAGGATGGAGTCAGAAAATTCTCTGCTCAGAGAACATGTATAGACTGAGACCTAGCTGTTATTATTATTATTTTTTACCCCACAGATCCCTTTAGTGAGTATTAAGACTCTAAGCAGGTATAAGAATTCTCTAAAATGATGTTCAAACAGCACAACTCACAAAGTTCTTGGGCAGCTTTTACCCAACTTACAATTGAATACACAACAGGACAATTTAGATAAAAAAAGGAAATTATATTGTACCTTTCATAACCTTCCCTGAATATTAATCATTAGAGAAATCAATCATTACATCAAGTTAAAGGTCACAATGCCATTTTATCTTGAATTTGGAATTCCTGGCAGTAAGGAATGGCATTAGTTCTGTCCATCATAGATACATTACACTTATTTTCTATGGCACGAAAGAATACTTTAAATCTAACGGCTACCAGTTGTGTTAGTATATACAAATTTTGCAGTCAAACTGTTTCACATCTTAACTAAAATACACCTCTCAAGAAATCCTAGTTTTCAAGCTAGGCTTGGTGGTATAGGCATGTGCTAATCCTAGTACTCTGGGAGGCTGGGGCAGGACTGCAAGTTCCAACCCAGGCTGGACAACTAAGTTAAGACCCTATCTCAAAATTTTAAAAACAAGTGGAATGCAGCTCAGTGAGAAGGCCATGGGTTCAATACTCCAGTACCACCAAAGAAGAAATTCTAGTTTTTAGTTTTCAGCCAGACACAATGGCACACCTGTAGCCCTAGTACTCTGGGAGGCTATGCAAGGTGGATTACAATTCAAGCCCACATTGGGCAATAAAGTGAGAACCTGTATCAAGATGCATATCTACCTTCTATACAATTTTCCCCAGTCAAAGGTAAAAATGAAATACTTGCCTTAAAGGACAAGCATAATTTCAGCGAGTATGTAAGTCCCTGGATGCAAGACACAATCAAAAAACAAAAAATTTCAAGTATATTACTTTCATAAATCCTAGTATAAGCCCTCAGAATGATACTGTAACCACAATGACTTCCAAAAATTAGGAAATACAAGTGCAAAGGCAAATTATTTTATAAGGTAATGTTCACATTATACATTATGCAGTAATTTTAACAAAAACTATCTTAAACTACAAGTACATGAGACAACCAATGTAAATAAAATTATTTTATCTATTATGGTATCTTATGCATGCGATAATTATTAAAAATCATAACCACCCAAAATACTACCCATTAAAAATTGTTTTATAGGTCTGCCTTTAGCACTGGTAACATGAGCCATATTTGTGAATGACAAAACACTCTCTACTCTTTTTGCTTCCCTGACACATAAGACAGAATAATACTTCAAATTATGGGCATGAAGTGGGATTTAGGTACATTTATACAAAATTGAACAAATCAAAACCTGAGAGGGAAAAAAAAAGCAATAGAGTGCAAGGGTCTTGGGAGGAAAAAAAATGTGGGCACATGTTGGTTCTGCATGTAACTGGTGGCGTATGTGGTAGGCCTTCTTATAGTAGTAGTGCCACACTCAACTGTTGTGCTTATTCAGAAATCAGTCTCTGTTCAAGAGTTGTGGGGGAGGGGAAACCACATAAGGGACTCAGGCTGTATGCTCAGTATCCTTATTCAATTCCTAAATTTTCCTTCAGGGTTATCCTATATTTCAAGTAGATTATGGCTTAAGATACATCCTAGAAGACTAATTCCAACAAGAATGTAGTGAATTAAATTTATAGGCAAAACACCAACCCCCCAAAAAAAAACCCTGAAGAGATGCCTAGATACCAATATATTAAGAAAACATTTGTATTTACAAGCAACTCCAAAAAGGGTAACTCTTTTTAGAGCTTAACATTTCAAGTTTAGTAAACCGTGTAGCGAAACATTTATTCCAATAAGACAATATGAACTAATCAATGCAAAGAGACCCAAAACAAAATATCAAATCTGACTCAATGATCAGAGATGGAGCAAACCGTATCAGCTGTGGGAAATAAAATAAAATCCGACTTCCCCTCTATTACAGTTTCAGGAAGATCTGTAAATTCTAATTACCTTGGTTTTAAATGGATTTTAAAAATACCTCCCAACTTTCAGTCCTATTCAACCATAAAACAGATAAAATCTGCTTAAAAAAAAAAAAACACTAAACTAAAACCAACCAACCAAAACCAAATCTTATGATCCAGTTTCCAGATGCTGATATCTATATATGAATAGAGGGTTATGAATTACTAATTCTCATCTCCCTAGCAATAAAAGGCAAACCAGCTCAGCAGCGAAAATTCCCAGGAAAGCAAGGCTTCTTCTTAGTCCTGAAGCAGTCAGTCATCGCATTGCCTAAGTGCAGCTCCCTGCAGCCAACAGCATTAATGGACGCTGCACTGCTGTCCTTCCCTGGAGACAGCAGCCAGCACTACTCAAGCTTCTCACGTAGCAACCAGAGCTCCAGAGCTAGCAGCTGCTGCTGCCTTGTATACTCACCCTGTGATCCAACACAGGAACAACCTTCTCTTTACCCCACCCCCACTCCTTACCCACTTATTTTTTTTGGGGGTGCTCCAGGCTAAAAGGGCTAGAATTATGTTTTTAGAGCGAAACAATATTAAGGTCACTCTTTTACACTGAACTCTTTTATTAGAAAAATCAACATTTACCAAATTCCAAACATTTGTTTCAATTAAGCCAGCAATTTAGGAGCAAAGATTAAGCTGTAGTATTTATAGGACAATTTTCTAAGCACTCAACAGTCGAATTTAAATTTGCAGCTAGATACATCCTGTGCCATGTCCTACCAAAGGACATAATTCATTTTTCTACACATAATAACAGTCTGAGTTAACCTTAAGGACTCTAATCCCATAACGGGCCAGAATATTTGGCTAAAGAAGAGAAGAAATGATTCTCCTGAGAATGCTTGAAGAAAAAACAAGAAAAGGTTTTCTGTGTCCTCCAAAGGGCCCGTAGACCTCTGATGATGTATTTTCCGCCTTGGCCCTAGCTCAGATAGCACACATCCAAAAATTATCCCTTGTAACTTTCTTCTGAATGACCTAAAAACACTAGTAACATAAAGTTAACCATTAAAAATACTTTATCCCAAATTTAGAGCACACAGAAAGTCTCCTGAAAAAGCTCAACACATAACTCAGCTGGATCCTCCACAATCAAAAATATGCCCAAGAGAACCGTAAATGTGACCTTGGTCACAAAAACCCCAACTTCTTTAGTCAAGGATGAAGGAAATCAGAGAACCTGGGGATTCTTTCAGTACTATGAGCAAACAAAAATTGGAGAATGAACTTAGGTACAGACAAAGCAGTGACACCACAGCTCTGGGCAAGAAGTGAGTTACTGGTGAACACATTGCACAAGTAACATGAGAAAGCAGAAAATGCAGGTCATACACGCACCCCTGACCCAGACCAGCAGAGCTGGCTGCAGCATCAGGATCCAGGAGAAAGACCACTTATTTCAAAGGGAGATGAGCAGAGAGCTCTATAGAATCAATTAGCATAGAAGGGGCTTTCCCAGCAGTTAAAAACTTTCCCTTCTCACGCGATTCATCTACTTAAACCAGGGCTTTTTCCCATCACTATTGACTTCACATTTTGCTTTGCACGCAAACCGAATGAGAACTCATAAAGCATGTATTTTTCTGCTCTGAAAAACGTTCTCAAAAGATCGTTCTCCACGCCCAAGGCAGGGAAAACGACAAAATCTGGCTCAACTCCATGCTGTAACCCCACAGATTCAGTGGGGAGATCTCAGATATCCGGGAGCATTCGCCACACGGAGCCCAAGAATATGAGGTGGGGGTGGCGAAGGTAATGTCTTCAGTGTGGGAAAGGAAGCAGCCATCTGAGAAGGCGATTCGAGAACGAAAGGGAAGGCGTCCTGAAGATCATGGAGAGGACTAGAGCCATCAGAGTTGTCACAAGGCCGCAGGAACGGGGGTAGGGAAACAGAAATAGCAGTGTGCCCGTGTTTTTCGGAAAGGGAACGTGAGGCCTACCCTCCAGGCAAAGGTGAACGTGGAGCAGGCAGTTCCCAGGGTGGGGAGCTATGGGGGAGGGGAGCGTCCTGCCCTGGAAAGGCACGAAAGGGGAGTGGAGTCGGCTCGATCGGGGGGGGGGGGACCGTCTGCCGGGAGAAGAGGGGCTGCGGCGTGTAGGGATGAGGGAGGCAGTATCCTCCTGTTGGGCCTGGGAGTACGGGGCCCGCGTCCCGAGGACGCAAGCGCGGGGAGACGGGCGAGGTGACCCTTCCTTCCTTTCCCGGGGCTCGATGTGAGAGTCGGGGTCTCTTTCCTGTCGGACCCTTACCTTGTCCCAGGCGCGGCCGGGGCCTGGGCCCGGGCTGCGGCGCACGGCACTCCCGGGAGGCAGCAAGACTCGAGTTAGGCCCAACGCGGCGCCACGGCGTTTCCTGGCCGGGAATGGCCCGAACCCGTGTGGTGGGGGTGGGGGACAGAAAGGCGGAGCGAGCCGAAGGCGGGGAGGGGGAAGGGCCAGGGAGGGAGGGGGCCGGCGCTACTGTGTTGGCGGACTGGCGGGACTGGGGCTGCGTGAGTCTCTGAGCGCAGGCGGGCGGCGGCCGCCCCTCCCCCGGCAGCGGCGGCGGCGGCAGCAGCGGCAGGAGCTCACTCACCCCGCTGCCGGAGCGGAAACGCCACTGACCGCACGGGGATTCCCAGCGCCGGCGCCAGGGGCACTCAGGACACGCCCCCTCCCGCTTCACGATTGGCCTCTCCGCCCACCGCCCCGCACCCATTGGCCAGCTCGCCGCCAATCAGCAGAAGCCGCCGGGGCCGCCTAGAGAAGAGGCTGTGCTCTGGGGCTGCGGCTCCTCAGAGAGCCTCGGCTAGGTAGGGGAGCGGAACTCTGGTGGGAGGGAGGTCCGGTGGTCTGGGGGAGGGGTGGCTGAGGTGGGCCGACTGTGGCTGGGAATCGCCTTCTCCAGCGGGATGTCGGAATAGGACGGTTTAACTATTTGGATGGGAACTCGGGTGGTCGGATACGAACGAGGGCGGCCCGCCCTGCAGCAACCGGAGGGGGAGGGAGAAGAGAGCGGAAAAGGCTCGAAGCCGGACAGCCATTGCTCCTGAAGAGGGAGGGGCGCTTCCGGCCTCACTTCTTGTAGCTGATTGGCCATTTCTCCTCCCGCCGTAAGTGAAAACACAAATGGCGTATTTTGGTTGGAGTAAAGCGCCTGTCAGTTACAGTCTTAGTAGTGCGCAGCCGCCTGGCGACTCGCGGGCCCCTGGGTGGGGCGGGTAGGTGGGGTGAGGGCCGGCAGTGCGGCGCGGTCGGCTTCAGCGGGGGAGGGGAGGTCAGTGAAAGTGGCTCCAGTGCGGGCGTCCTCCCACCTTCCTCTGCCTTCAGGGGAGTCAGTTTGCCCGCCGTCTGTTAGGCTCTGGAGTCTGATTGGCTGCTGTGTTTCGGGGAATGGGCCCTTGCTATTGGCTCGAGTCCCAAATGAGCGAAACCACTTGGCGGGCTGTCGGCTGTGGCGGGGAGGCGGGCGTTGGTTTGGCCCTCCCCAAGGCCTGCGCCGCAGTGTCTGGCCCAGCGCCCCAGCGCAACGTGGCAGGAAACGCGCGCCGGAGGCGGGGGTGGGCTGCCGGCCTGGGCTTCTGGGTGTTGGCTGCCACAGCTCCGCCCAGGTTCCCTACTTCTGGAAGGGCCGGACCTATTCCAGGCAGCTGTTGGGGGTTGGGAAAACGCGGTGGTCTGTCTAGCTGGTTTGGGGGTAGAAGGCGCAGGTTCTCCAAAAACGCGCTCCAGCTGCAGTCCTGAGCCCTGCAGTGTAGGGGGCGGAGAGAGGGCCGCACCCTTCTTTGGCAGGGGGAGGGGAGTGCCGCAGTACCTTTCTGGGAGCTCTCTGCTGCCTTCAGTCCTCTAAGGACCGCCTTGGGCCTAGAAGAATCCCTCCCCTCCCCCTTCATGATATCATCGCCTCCATGTCGATTTGCTTTTCGATTATGGGCGGGATTCTTTGGCCAGGCTTAAGAGCAAACCTGCTGCCTGGGCGTTGTCTTATAGGAGTAGAGCAGCTGTAAGATTTGAGGGGCAGAATTGAGTTTGTGTCAGGAGGTAAATTATTGTGACAGAGGAAGACAGTGGGGGCTAGGCATTGACCTGGAATTAGCCTTATTCACTGACACTTGAGTTATTACTACTTATCCTTTTTTAGAGCGTTCTTTCCTGGAGATTAAAGATGTGACTGATTTTTTATATTCATCCCACTTGAATTTTCCTGTACTGCCGAAGTACAATGTAGCACCTCACAGTCATAAATTTTATTCTTTGCTTCAGACCCTTGTGAGACCCTCCCTCCACCTTCCTCCTGCTTCCTCTGCATCTTTCCAGGCAGGCATTTTAGCAACCCATACTTTAGTGCAATTTTCCATGTGTTACTTGTTCATCCAGTCCCCAGACGTGCCACTGGCTTTCTCCCCCTTGATCTTGAGTATGCCTGGTGAGTCATGAAACCAGACAGATTGGTTCCACCAGAAATTTAGGCAAGAATTGAGGCCTTTTACCTAGAAGTGTTTTTATTCCTCCTCAATATACTTTCTGAGATGTTTACTCTGATTTTCATTTTATCTACTTTTCTCAGGTAGGATTCTTCACTTGGGCCTGCCTGTTCACAATCCAGATAACTTCTGATTACTGACCTCTACTACCCTTTTTCGTTTGAACATTGCTCATTGCATCCCTTTATTTCTGTTCTCACTAGTTAGTAACTGAGCTCAGTTATTTGTATAGTAGCTTCCCAACTTGCATTGCTTTATTATTTTCTGATGCATTTTACATATTGTCAGGATGACAGATAAAACTCTGGTTTTATCTGTTACTGGTTCCTTACTACTTACAAGAAAATCCATTCTCATGAGTGTGATGGCCGGTGACCTCTATTACTTTTGTTTTTGACCAGGAATCAAACACAGGACCTCGTACTTGCCAGGCAAGTGCTTATGGAACTATCTCACTGTTTTAGCCTTAACTTTTAAGTTTTTTTTTTTTTTCTCCTTTTTCACTGTAGGGACAGGAGTGCCACAGGCAAAATACAGAAGTGGGCCTTGGGGAGGTTCTGAGGGGTAAAAACACAAGGAAGTGAAACTTTAGCTTAAACCAGAGGTAGGACCACATGTACTAGATGAGGGTAGTGACATGAATAGAAGGGACCAAACTAACCAGGACACCTTGTGCACTTGTTGACTTGTATGGAGCATCCATTTAAAAGTGGCCAAAGGCTACATGACTGGAGATGGCAGACCCAGCCATAACCCAAATCTGCCTTCATGACTATTACCACTGAAAGGAAGGAGGAAAACCCTGGGGACTTAAAAGGAAGTCTGCCCACTCCTAGCAACTAGCAACGGACTCTCAACTCTGGGGCTCCTCCTTCTAGTAAGGAATTTGTTGTGCTTCTCCAATAAACTTACTTTTGCTTTGCACCACTAAAGACTTTAATCTCTACATAATGAATTGAAAGTCCAGACCTAGGAAAGGAGACTGGGGGCACTGAGTGGATGTGGCAGTTTGTGGTGCACCTAGGATACTTAAAAGACCACCGACATGGTCAGTGTCTCTTGGCCTAAAGAGCAACCCTCCAGGGAGGAATGACTGTGGGTATCCAGCACTATCATTTTATAAGGTCCTTTGGGGGATAACCCTAGCCATGACTAGGTTGAAATCTTGGCCAGGATCCCAGAACATAAACAGGTAGGTCCCTAGTCCCACCCTTACATAGCTAAGATCCTCAAGCATCCTCTTGGCCCAGAAATTCAGCCAATCTGTCATGCCACTCCTGGGGACCTATTGAGGGAATTATATTGACCTGCCACATGCCAAGAAGCCCTTCTGGGAGACCATCATGAGTGGTAGGCATCTCCCTGTGCCTCTGGAGGGATTTCTTCCAGAGGTTGTGGGACACTATATTACTCCCAGCCCAGGACAAACTTCACAGGATTTCCCTATCAAAGGGTGGGTGTATGCTTTTAATGTCACCCACTCTGAGACTGGCTCTCCAGGATGCGTTTGTTCTCCATCTTGCTCATCACAGCCAGACCCATGTAGCCTACCTGTACCCCACCTCCCAGAGATTCAGAATGCCTCAAATGGAATGAGGTTTGAGAACTCAGATTGTACAGGGACCAGGCTGTTACCAATGGGGACAGCATATAGGATTCCCCACTAGGGAGATCTGTCCCTTTCAAGGTCATCCTTGGGCCATGCCAGGCTAGCCAAAGACAACTGGGGGTACCCGACTGATGTAAGTTGAGAGAGGACCCCTTTCCTGCCAGCCACCCTCTTCTCCTTTGCCTCACAGATGGGAGCTACTGCCTTCAACGTTCGTCAGAACTCCCTGCTAGAATGCTTGTGTGACTGGAAAAAGTCAGACACCTGAACTTTGGTACTCAGGCACAGTTCCAGTATCAGGACCAAGAGGTCTGGCCTGAAGGGGAAACTGTTAACTGCCCCATTTTGCAGCTAGATTTGTTTTATAAACAGGCAAATGAGGGAGGGTTCCATACATACAATTATTTTTCACCCTCAGGGACTTCCCTGACTGGATTAAAGGGTGCCAAAATGGTGCCACCCTTATGACCAGCCTATGTGGCCTGCCTTTTTCATGGGAGAATTAGATAATGAAAAGCTTCCTGTAAAATTAATAATCCCTGCTACTTTCCAGCTCCCTATGACCTGTTTAAAACACCCCTTGGCAAGTTAATGACTCCTCTCCCCAAACCCACTGTATTGCTTCCAAGGAAAATGTGCTTCCCCTCAGGCTAGTTCTTGTAGGGAGAGGTCCTGCTGATCCCTTTCAATCTTGAGCTCAAAGAAGGAATTGGGTAGTTACATGGTTATGACCTTGACACATGTTGGTGTCACTGAACATCTCTGCAGTAATGTATATGGCATGGAAAGATGTGTTTTGGGGTGAAACTTTAAAATCAGGGTGAGGAAAGTAGGGTATGGGGAACAAGCAGTCTAAGTGGGAAACAGTTACTACATGCTGAAACAAAGGATCTTGGTAATATGCCAAGAGGGCAGGAAGCAATGCTAGTTAAAGACCCCAGATCCAAGACTAGGGAGCCAAAAGTCCCAGTACACTTGTGAACCCCTGGAAGACTTCAGGTTCCTCTTCACAAAAATGATAGAAAAACTAGTCCATCCCTGGTTCTGTGTGACTTTTATACTAGGGTTGTGGCCATTAATCTTTCTTTGGTTGCAGATTGCCTGTCAGCCTTAAGAACTGTCCTTGCCAGGGTGAACCCCTATGTTTGTGGATGTGGGAAGGTCTCTTTCCTTCTAGTTTTCTGCATAGTCCAAGGGCATAGGTGTACCACCTCATAGAACTGGCCTAAGGCGACCTGGCTGATATTACCAATTTTGACCCAGTGTTCGCTGTGTCCCAAAGTGACTGACAAGCATTAAACAAGAGTTCAAAGCCATGCCTTTAGCATGCAGAATGGATAGCAAATGAGGTAAGTATCATAGGTATTACACAAGGATACCATTCAGAGTTGGTGGAGTCCCATACCCAATTTCCCCAGTTGGAAAAGAACTCCCTCAGGGAAAATCCTCAAGGCAGCATACTGTTTTTCTCACTTCAGTGGGTCAAGGTTTCTCCTAGATGTCTTCAGTTGTCCCACTGT